CCGTTTTACGTGAATGGCCTACGCCATCCACGAGTGCCCACCCTTATAGAGTGTGACTCTTGGATAAGGGGGGGGGGACTCGCTCGAGCAAAAACCGTTTTGGCTCTTGCTCATCACGTGTCGACGTTAACGTCGTCACGTATGATGCCGATGTCGATCAAGTCGACATCGATGAAGAAGATCACCTCAATAATAGCGACGACGCTATTATTGATTCGGATGATGATGACGATGCTGGTATATTCAGCATCGCCAACGATTATGTCAGCGAGGAAGAAGACAACCTCGCTGAAGAAGAGAGCAATCTCTTAGCAGTGCGCACGAAGCGCACTGCCAGACAACACAAAGAGTCAGCAGAGAACTTCCTGCTGACTCGAGAAGCGGTAGTCCATTTCGTTCAGGACTCCATTGCAAATGCGGTGGACCGTCAGAAACGGAACGCAGACAAGAATGGAAGAGCAAATGTTCTTTCATTTAAGGTTAACGACCTAGTACTACTGTCTACGGTAAACTTACCTGGACATGCAGTCACTAGTGTCGGCAGTAGTAAACTACTGCCGAAATACATTGGGCCATTTCGAGTGTTGCATCGCAAGGGCAATGCATACACACTCGAATTGCCACGTAGGATGCGCACGCATCCTACGTTTTACGTGGGGAGGCTTAGGTCGTACTGTCAGTACGAGCCTTCTTCTTCCGATGAAGATAGCCCCCACGTTCAAGAACATCCATCAAGTTCTTGCGTTCGCGCTCCAGACGATCCGTCTGGTCGCGCAGATATGATACCTCGGAACTCAACCGAGATATCTCCCCGCGAGCTGTCGCCAGCTCGCCGAATAGGGAGCGGACATCCCGCTCGACCTGAAGCTGCGCTGTGGCATAATCGGCGCGATCCCTCGCCCGATCAGCCTCGTGATCCTTGCGGTTCTTCCGCACGGTATCAGTCAAAGCGTAGCGCCGGTCGCGCTCGTGCTTCAAGTCATCGCGCAATTCATCGATTGCGCGATCCATCTCGTAAGGGTCGAGATGGTGAACCGAATCATCTGGAGGAGGTCTTTCCTCCTCCACCACATCCTTTGGTGGATGCTCACGGTGATAAACGCTTTCTAGTGGAGCGTATCTTGAATCACCGTGACGATTCAGGATCAAGGACGAGCTACCTCGTCCAGTGGCGGGGGTATCCACCCTCTTGGAACAGCTGGGAGCCCCGCTCTCAGCTGTTGATGGATGTTGAAGGTCTCGTCCGCCAGTATGACGAGACCCATCCGATGAGTCCTGTGGCCCATCGGTAAACACGCGCCCTAGGCGCTTGTAGACGGATTGCAAGTTCGCAATCGCGTCACGCATCTCAGCCGAGATGTGTGCCCTTCCCCAGGGCGAATCTAGGGAATACACATCCCTATGTGCACGCTGCGAGTTGTCAACACAACTCGCACAAGGGTCTCCCTATGTGAGGCAAGGAATGCCTGCCTCACTCGATAAACAATGCAACCGGTACCTAGCACCGGTTGGCGTTCGCCTTTCGAACCTGAGGCGTGTCGCCTCAAGTTTCTTGAGCCACCCTTCTCGTCCAAAATTCTTTACGTTTTGGACGAACGCGTTCCACGCAGCCAAAAGCGATGTTTTGTCACGCTTTTGGTTGCTGTTGTACCATCGATGTCTAAGGAAGACATCGAGATAAAAATCTTCTTCAGCGCGAAAGTTCTTCGCGCTGGAACTCAAGCCGTGAAGCTCGGTTGCATCGAATAAGGGTATTCGATGGTGTTGGCCTGTCTCGTGAGACAGGCTATTGATGAGCCGTTCGGGCAAACGCCACGGCTTCAACTCATCACGCTTCACAGTGGTACCCTTGTCGGTACCACGGCTCCCAGATTGACGACGGCTCGCGCCATCGTCATCACGCTCGTGCGAAGACGCACGAGCCGGCGGTGGTGAGGAATAGAATTCCTCACCACCCTGATCATCGTCATCACTGCCGAACAGACTGTGATGCAAATCACGAGTCCGTTCGTTCGGCAGTGGTCTTGGCAAATACGGAGGCGTCGCCGGTGAGAGAGACGCCTCTGGAGCATTGCCCGAGTCAGACACGTCTGACTCGCCAGAGTAGATGACCTCTACATCAGGGTCATCGTGCGCACGCGGTGTGATACCGCGTGCACCTGCAGCACCTGCTGCTGCAGGCGAAGAAGGGGCGGCAGACGACGAATCGTCTGCCGCAGAGGTTTGCACAGCACCGGGCTGTGTGGGTCTTGAGTCACCTCGCATAGACATGTTAACTATGCGAGGTCAAGCGGAAAGTGAATGGAACGGACCCAACAAGTGCTCCCTGTCTTAATGGTGGCGAACGGGTGGCCTCCATATTTTCCATAGTCACACGGTGACTATCAGTTAGGGGGGGGGTGATGTAACGGGGCAGCCCGTTACATGAAATTGTCACCTTAAGGAAAGTGACAATAAAGAATATAAATATGGATATTCTTTAAACAATATCACCAAAGTGGTGATATTGAAGGGTCGACCAAAGGGTCTGTTCATTGGTTGATATCGTGATGATATCAACCCACCAATCGCCTCAAGACGCGCGCAATGAGTGGTGACGAGACGTCACCATACATCCAGTTATATTAGTATAGTTAAACTAAGTCAAACGAAGAGACAGTAGTTTAAAGACTTAATTATATTAATATAACAGTTCTACTTTTACCCTACCTACGCTTCCTCGCTTGCCACGTGTACGTCCGTCGGGGCACCCAAAAACCCTTGCGTTAAGTTACGCAAGGGTGTGCCCAGTTACACTAGGGGCCACGTACTTCGTAGAAATATCACGATGAATAAGTCAACTGGTCAAAAATGAACTAAGTAAAGGAATGTATGTAGCGATTCACAATGTCACGGAGCATAAAATGATTCAAAGAAGGAATAATTAATACGAAAATGAATAGAACGACATAGGTATGCGTTTGAGATAGAGGAAAGCCGTAAAATTTACAGTAATGGAACGCCACTGATGTATACTATGCGTTCGAGCACAGACATAACTTTGCTAGATATTACACAACTAAAAACGATTTTGTCGCTGGTATTGATTTAGATGTCGTAGATAATTGACAAAGAGAGAGCCTACCGACGATTGTAAAATGGAGTTTAATTGTTAGTGTCCGAATAATACATTTCTTCTACGCAAGATATATTGAACATCATTAAATGTCCCGCTGACCGATATATACGTCGCAACGCGAGCATCACTTTTCTGTCTTTCGCGCAAAGCACGAATTTAAAGACCCGTAGTATGATGCAGTGAAAGAAAAAAATTGGCAGCAAGTTGACGCATGCTCGATCGGTTCGAAGAGCTTCCAATAATATGAGTCAATCGGAATCTTGTCACACAAAGTATTGCCGTTTTCTGCCTTGTAGACAATGTTGGCTAATTTCCTGTTACCGTCCTACCCTTACTTGCCTACTATCCCTCAAAAATAAGGTTTACACATTAGCACTAGCAATAATAGCAATGAAAAGCGACAAAGAGCAGCGCCTATCGACCACCTTTTTCGATGATCGATTCATAATTGAGTAAGAGTGATATAATTTAAGCTGTGACAAAGTTTACAATACGTGCAATCGTCCTTTTCATATTCATTCTAATTCGAAACGGCGTTACAAAGCAGTCTATACACAAAATGAACGAATGCTCGTGGTTGACTTACGCATACTCGCACGCGTTCATTTCGCCTACATATTTGTGTTGTTTCATTTGTATTCTAGCCAAATATCTGAAACTTGGAGGTCCGCGTGACATTCAACCGCTACACACATTGCTCTCAACTTTGCAGTCACGAAGAATGGGCATTATTGATAGCCGGAAAGGGACCCCATTGGTGATACCTGTATAGTCCATAAAAGAATAATACAAACATGGCTGGATGGAATTCACAAAAGCTATTGATAAATTGAAATATTACATTTGAAAGCATATTGGGCCATGCAGCCTAAGAAATCCCGACATATTTGAACGGAAGAATGGAAGTCTTACGGCCAAGGTCGGTGCTTTCCATGCAAATTTTAGGTGCTTATGCCTCAATTTCGAGAGTTTCTGTCAACATGGAAGACCTAGATTGAGCTTACAGGTATTCGTATTATCGCTTGTGGGAAGACAGCAGAAACTTCGATGGTTGCGTGCTCTTGAGATTATACCACGTTATTCAAATTATTGGAGCCAAACTTGAATGTATAAAATAATGACTAAACTGAAAATGACGTCTGGAGCCGTATGTCACGACTCGACAACTGCATTACCTGTAATTTTCAGAAAGGGCATGTAACTAGTATGATATGTACATTAAAAGGCATCAAATATTCCGCACTACTTTGCGATTGACATTTAATGCGATAATTTATAAGATATATGAATGTAAATCGCTGAATATCAATGTCGGATATCGGATCGCTGGCTCATCAGAACTATATTCCACTTCTCCTTTTGCCTTCTCCTGCGCACTCGCACAGAAAAAGGCTCCCTTGCGACACCGCACAAGCCCCGTTTGTTCGTTGCCCTTCGCCGTTTGTCTTTCGCTCCATTGCCTTCGCCCGCCGTTGTCTTCGCCGCGCCTGCCTTGCCGCCCCCTACTACTTTCGTCTTCTGTGGCTCGCTGAGCTGTTCGTGTTCTTCAGTAATAACACCGTTTGTTGCTTTCGCTCCTTCTAGTTGTTTGTCTCTCGCGTCTCTTCTTTCAACTTCCTTGTTGTTGTCCGATACTTACTGCTTCTTGTGGCTGGTTGAGGGACCGTAAGAACTTCCATTCAAGGGGTTTACAACTTGCGTCGTTCTAAGTTAGAGGACTGCGATTGCGTTGCGTCGTGCATTGAGGTACAATTAACGCTTTGTGCCTTCCGTTTGAAACTCCCGTTGCTCTGCGTGGCGAAGCCCCTAGGTTATCATTTGCCCTTCTTACCGCAGCCAGTCATCCGCGTAGACGAACCTAGGTTGTGAGCCGTCAGTGCTAATGGTAAATCCACGCCCACCGCCTCGCCGCTCTGAGTTCCCCCGTCAGATACCGGCGGACTCTTTGCTGGAGGCAAGCGAATCTGAGCTTGCTCTTTGTAACTTTAACGCTTTGCGTCTTAATGCGCTCAAACTTGCTCCAACGCCTACCAATGCGGCGGGGCTGCATCGCATGTGGATTCCTTGTTCTCATGCGATCAAGCGTAAGCACCTCGCCGAGGTTCTTAATGAGCTTGCGAAGGACGACCATCCGCAGTTGTGGAAGGACGCTCGTCAGGCTCGTCTATTACAAGACTTCAAGCTGATCCCTAAGGCGGGGTCCCGTTTTACGTGCACGGCCTATGACACTGCTTCCAAACTTAGCTTAGTTAAGCTCAATGCTTTTGGCTCGCACATCCAAATCGCTCGATTTAAAGTTCGGTTCTCGTTACTTCGTTGATTTGGTCCGTCTTCCTGATGAAGTTTTGGATCGCGTGACAATTACTTGGTTCGCGGAACGTGGTGCACCTCCTACGTGCGTACTCCCGACGTTCGTGCGAAACGGCCTTCCCTCGCGGGAAAGGACTATTTATTTTGGACAAGATCAGGCGCCATCTGTCTTGGTTCAATAGTAGGACGCTTCTCTACGAGTAATCGAATTCTCATTGCCGGATGACGGCATGGTGAATCTTCGTGCTCGTTTCGTGAACCACAAGGTGGCTCGTTACAATAGCGTCACGCCCATGTCCATTCGTCTTCGTCAAGCCGAGGATGCCGCTCGAACGGCGACTGAATCTGCGGGTGCTTTCATTTCTGCTACGGCTGCACCTTCCAATGCACCTACCCACTCTGATCCTCAAGTATTCGCGTCGTCTCTTTGGATCTCTATACGCCACCCGCTGCCTGATTATTTACTGTATTCTTCGCTGGCTACTTCTCTGGATTCTTCTGACGTACCCGTCGCTCCACCATATTCAGCCTATCTCCTACTCCCTCTTCCACACGTGACGTCATCATGTAGGAACGGGATGATGTTTTTGCTCTGTATGATGACGCGAATGGTGATGCATCTGCCCAGCCGGTGTTCGACTTCAAGGAGTTTTGGGTACGGTTATTGACACCCCCAAGTATCCCCCAAGTACACCTCTATAGGCAAAGGCGGGTTCTAATCGTCGGGCTCTATACGGCCGTTCTGGTAATAATTTGGCTGAAGCCAAGTCGGTCGCCTACACCTTCAACGTTGCGGCAGGCACGGCTCAAGCTACTGACCTCGTCAAGCCGAATTACTATAGTCCCCGTCTGGTTTGGAGATGCTGACCCGGACGTCGCTCAATGGCAATACGATCTTGACGTTCACCGTGAGGTGGATGACAAGACTTGTATGGAGTGCTATCCAGTTAACGCTACCACTCCTGAGTACGTCGCCATGGTTACTCCGGTGACTCTGTACTTCAAGGTCGACACAATGACTTGACTTAAACTTGTCCACTATGTTAACTCGCTCGTAGGGGAATTATGTACCCTCGCTCCATTGGACCAACTGGCCACGATTGAAGCTAACCCTGGGCTCATACTTTTGCCATGGCGTCGAAAGACCGCCTAGATAATATCGCCCATTACCGAAGTGTCTGTCGTCTTTTGGCGCACGCACGTCCCGGGACGGGTGCGGCTCAAACAAAGTGCCTTCGGGTGCTGCAAGCTACAGGCAAGGCGAAAACCATGCTCAAACATGTTTTGAGTCATGTAAAACCAATTTCGAAAGATTACAAAAGGGTACTTTTTGTACTCTCAAGTTGGGATTTGGTGCTTCATATTATGGCGCCTACCGTCTATCATGATCCCTTCAAGATTTTGGTGCTTACGGACTCAGTTCCGGACTTCCTAGTCAATTTGACTATTCCGCTGCTCTCGGACAACACGCTTTGGCTGCTCGGTTTCAGCTCTTTTGCGAAAGACCTTTTACAGTACGAGACTGTGCCTGACTTTTTGAAGACCTTGGTTTAAGCTGTCTAAACTTTAAAACCAAACGCAGAAGAAGCCTTCACCCCTCGTCTTCATTTCTAGGCAAGAGGTTTGGGCCTTTAAGGCGGTTTCACTCAATGCGAATGGGTTGAACAAGCCCCGTCTTCAATTTTTCCAAGATCTACTCTCTCAATATCTAGTTGTCGCGCTTCAGGAAACCAAGCTTTCAAGCCTACAATCGCTTCACGACAACGACTATGTCTTCACGCCGCGGATTCGCATGCCCGTGCGTTTTGGTCTCACTCGTCATCGACCGAGTTCGGCCCTCGCAATGATGTTGCTCTTTAGTTTAATGGTGCACATCATTTTCAAGATCTTCACGATGCAACCTCGCTACACACCAATACTGAGTATTACGCAATCGCTATCTGGTCGTCTCCGCCACATTGGGTACACTCCGGGTCTATATTCACGTGGTTTAGGGGCCCGTGTGCGCGGAAGCTCGGGCTTCTTAATTTCAACTCTTCCGCGTTGCTATGACGACTCTTTGGTTCATTTGGTTTTGGGTGATTTAAACATGAACATGGACTCATTTTTTGATCCAGCTTCGCCCAATGCCTCTTTTTACGACGCTGACCGTGCTGAGCTTTTTGACTGGATGATCAGCCTCGGTTTGATCGACTTTTGGCGACTTGAGAATCCGGACAAGCGCGAATTTACTGGTCCCACGCTCAAGACCAGGATTGATTACTGCCTTGCCAGTATCGATTTTTATGCCAAGTTTACTCGATCCTCAGGTCACTTACTGGACACGACATTGGGGGGCGCGGATCACGTTCCGGTTACTTTTTCGGCTTCTTCTGCAGACACTGTGTCCACCGACTCGTTACCGTTCAAGTGCCCTCCATGGCTCCATAATGACGACAAGATCCAAGATCAACTTCGCTATAATCTCGAGCGTATGAATGCTTCACTCGAATAAGTCGAAACGCAGAGTGTATAATCGACGAACACAAGCGGCACGATCGAATTTATTTACGTCAAAAAACATCTTCGGCGGAAAAGTGCGACAGCCACTCAACTCTTCCTTCTCCTTCTATCAACTTCTCGGGGGCGCGAACCCCAGTATTCGATCAGCCCCAAAGATTGTCATCGGTTTCAACATAATGCGTCACGCCAAGCCTATTTAGACTTTTCGATGGCACTTCGTGAGCGGAACGCTGCCTCGAAGTTTGACTTAGATGTCACTCCGGGTGAGCAATCTTCTAAGCATCTCTTTCTGTCTCCCGCTGCGGTGGCCCTCAAGCTGTCGATTTCGTCTGTCGACACGTCATCAAAATTGTCAAGGGGGCCTGCCACTACTCTTTCGACACATCGTCGATATTGCGGCATCGTCTTTCAGTAGGATTCCCATGATTTAGGGGTCGAACCTCAGCACTTCAACTCTTCAAATCGTCAAGATACTCTTCATCACATCCCTCGGACCTCACGTCTACACACGCCGCTATGCTGGACGCGCCTATTACGGCCAATGATTGATTATGCTATCAAGCATACTGATCGTGGGAAGTCGCCGGGTTCAGATGGACTTCCAGCTGAATAGTATCAGCTCTATCCTCATCGGTGAGCTCAAGTTTTGGAGCTTGTGTATGCTGCTCAATTCCGGAAGGGTCGTATGTCCAAATTTAACGCCGCGCCTACATCTCTCTACTCTTCAAGAAGGGTGCACGTTCGATCCCCGAGAACTATATGCCCTTGACTCTACTGAATCAAGATGCCAAGTTCGGTCCGAAAGCTCTGGCTTATCGCCTCAACCGCGATCTACCGGCTATACTGGGTGAAGACCAATTTGGCTTCGTGCCCGGCCGTGACATCCGGCACGCTCTTCGCTATTTTCAAGACCTTCAAGATCATTGCCGACGAACCGATTCTCGAGCTCCGGTCGGTGCTATTTGCCTCGACTTTGCCAAAGCTTTTGATAGTGTCAACCGGAAAGCCTTGGATCAAGTTCTTCACCATCGGGGCTTCGAGTAAAATTTTCGTCATTGGGTGAAGACTTTTTTTGCGGAACTCTCGTTCAAGTTTTAAAAATTCTTCGCGCTCGGACTTCTTCAGCCTCGGTGCTAAAGTTCTTCAAGGAGACCTACTATCTCTTGGTTTATTCGTGCTCTTCATCGATGCGTTGCTCTGCTACCTGCAGGCGACTAATGCTGATTTGCTATCAAATTTTCGCAGTACTTCGCACCATACTGTCACATTTGCTGACATTGTTACAGGCTTGGTTAACAACCTCTCACACGCTCCCAAGTTTTTGGATCGCGTTCAATAATTCTGCGCCGCCACTGGTATGCGTCTCAATATACACAAGACTGTCATCTTTCCGCTTCGACCATGGTCTCCAATTGACTTCAGCCTTCGAGCTCAATTTCGGGGCCTAGGTGTTCGCACTCTAGAAAATGGGGACCATACTACGCTTTTGGGTATCGCAGTTGGACCTGAAATCAACCCACAGAATCAACTTAATCAGCTTCTTGTCCGATTTCAAAGTTGTGTGTTTCTTGGCGATGGCGTGCTCGTACCATTCGAGGTCGAGTCCTTCTTCTCAAGACAATGATTCTGTCTACTCTTTGGCATTTCTTGGAAACTGTTTCCGTTTCGAAGCAAAACTTGCTCCAGTTCAACCCGCTCATCTAGAACTTCATTAATTGCACTCCTTCTGCTGCTGTTCACGACGCTGCAACAAGGGGTCAATTTTCAAGCGCTTGGCATTCTGTCGATGCCCTATCCGGAAGACTCGACTTACCGTCGATCGCGACCTCTGTGGAGCTTCTTCAAGTTTATCTTATCCGGTAGTCTAATTTGTCAACAGCGTCAAGATCTCTCCACCCCTACCAGGTGGTTTATGCCAGCAAGAGCTGCGTTTGATCGCGTGTTTAATGGTCAAGATTCGGGCTTGAATTTTCTTTATATTCCTCTTTCGCCTTTGGCTTAGACGTCTCGCTAGCAGGCCGTATCTGCGTAATGGAGGGCTGCTATTGCTACTTGAAGCACCAAGATTATTGTCAAGCTTCACTGTTCGAATCCGATTTTGATCAAGCTTACTTGGTCACGTTCGAACAACGTTTTTATTCGCTTCACGGCAGACAATCTTACGCTGACAGGCTTCATCAAAAAGCCTGCAGCTTTCTCAGTCATCAATGTGTTCTGCGGGTTTCGTCTTTTTGCTCAGTGTTCGGCCGGCTTCCAGACGAAGATACTGCTAGGAAATCATTGAGTTCTTCTTCGATCAAACCAGGTCGCACTATGACTTCAGTCGTTCAAAAGATCGCGCCTCGCCTCACATTACCGGCTCATTACCAATACTTTGCAATATTTCCGTTTCCGCCTGAGGGGATGGTCGGCGCGTTGCATGTTTGGACTTTCGACGGCATCGACGTAATCAACGCTTCCAATCGTATTTTCAAGCGGTTACTTCTGTCTCACGATCCTCCGCCCCTT